CTCCGCCCCTGCAGCTCCCATTGGCTGGCGGGGCCTGCAGGTGACTTAAGGGCAGTGCAAACTAGGAATGTTAAATATCAGTTAATTGAATAGGTGAGTAACCTCATGAATTCTTATCGGTTACTCGACTATTCTATAGTCCCCAGGGGTTGGGTCAGCAGCCAGTGTGCTCCAGCACCACTCCCGAGGAGCCCCCTGCCACTCTGTGCTGTTGCCTCTGCATCAGCGAGCGGCAACAACTTGGGGTGCTGGGTGGGAGCTGGTCCATGTGGGGAGCCAGTTTAAAAGCCAGCTGCCTGTTGCCTCATGCTGCTGCCTCTGATAGAGAGGCAACAGTGTCAAGTGGCAGCAGCCACTGTCCGGGGGTAGGGTCTGAGCTTCTGGACCAGTGCAAGCTGGAACTAAGCCAGGCAGCCTGCCTTCCTGACTCCTTATACACTTGATGTGTGGATCCGAAGCAGGGGTAGGCCCTGGACCTGGCACAAGCTGGGACTGAGCTGGGCTGTTGGCCAGCCTGTTAAAAAATATACTGGTGGGGGATAGGTTGGGATGCATGTAGTCTATAGTACTACCTGATAAGCTTTTGCTTATTGGTTAATCAAGTACACAGTTACATCCCTAGTGCAGCCCCCATGGAGCCACCTGTTCTCGCTACCACCAAACAGGAGCATCAGACCTCAGCCCCCACTCTGAGCCCCTTCCTGTGCGCTTGCTCCCGCCTCTATCCTAACTTCCTGCTCTGAGCCTGCTCCAACAGCCCAAATGCCTGTGCCACCGCAGAACCCACAACCCCAGTCAGAGCCCTCATTCACCTTAACCCTGAGCCCCTTCCCACTCTCCGAACCCTCTGCCTCACCCTGCCACAGATGGTACATGTGCAGAATGAATTTTATGTGCACCAATACGAAGGTGCTGTGTTGGACATCATCTCAATATAGTGCATATAACAAAATTAATTCCACACATGGACATAAAAAATTAGAGGGAAAACTGGGTGTGACCCATGTGCTCTCTGTGACCAGTTTAATTGTATATTCTAGCATTTTTCCCCCATTTTGGTTTAGGTGCAGCTCATCCTTCCTGGAGAGATCCTTCCTTTTCCCAAAAGTTGCCCAGTTCCTAATAAACCTAAATCCCTGCTTCAAACACCATTGGTTGATTTGCACTTAAAAACTTAGCAGATCTGCCTAATTGACTCTGCTCGTGGAATTGGAGACATTTCAAAAAACCATATTTTTCTTCCACCACTGTTAAGAAATTGGAGGGGAAAATCAATCTGCTCTTAATGCTCTCTCGAGTCCCTGGAATAACAGTTCAGGAACAGCCCTTCTCAGGTGTTGGGCGGCAGTCCTGGGCCTCTAGTGTGCAAACAAGGAAATGAACTAAATAGGCCATTTTAATTTTCAACTACTAGTTTGGAACCATGCTGTGAAAATCACTAATTTACTAAATGTAAAACAACATATTGCAAAAAGAGGGAGGAAGAGGCATTTTCATTTCCAGGAATTTGGAGGGAGCATCTACAAGCTATGTATTGATTAGCAAATTTTAAATTTATTTGGATGCCATAATTTTAGCAGGGGCTCCAGCAGCAGATAAAGGGCAAGGCGGGTGCCCCGGGCCCCATGCTTCAAGAGGCCCTGCACATGCACCGTGTCAAAGGGGGGCCCCTGCAAAATTGTGCTGCCCTGGGCCCCGCAAAACCCTCATCCGCCCCTGAAGGGCTAAGAGGGTGAGGTTATAGTACTCAGTACTGTGTGCTCCTCTACCACACTCTGCTAGTAGAACCCCTGTTACCAAAAACCAAAACACTTTCTACTCTACCTTTAATATGGATGCTATGTGATAGCAGGAATTAACAGACAATTGCATGCCGCTGATTTGCTGGATGCATGTGCTGTTTTTACTGGCGTGTGGATGGAAATCTACTTTTCACCGTAAATGGTGTATTCTGGCTTCAATTCTTTTACCCCACTTATGACATGAGCCAAAGTTCATGGAAATCAGGAGGAACTTTTCCTTACTTATCACATAGCTCCATAGCTGACACTCTGCCTGTCACTTTCACTTGAGAGGGTGGTATTTGGGAGGAAGGAGACATTCATTAATGTGTCTGGGGGGTCGCTGTGTTAGTCTGTGTGAGTAGTCCTTAGAGACTAACAAAAATATATAGTATCATGAGCTTTTGTGAGCCTTGCAGCCTGCTCTGTATCAGAATTCTAGACTTGCAAATGCGTGTTAGGTTAAGTGGTGAAGAGACTGATTTATCACACCAAGGAAACACTGAATTACTGCACATTCCTTATGGACTGCTCTCTGTTCCTTAGTCTGTTACATGTAGCTGGCTCACCTTCCTTCCTGTATGTCTTACTGATAAAGCCACAGATGGAAAAGAGGTCTATTTGCATAGCACGTTAATAAGCTCATCACGCATACAAAGCTTGGCAAATCCATTATTGCTTTTGTAAATGGAGAAGGAACGTGGTGTAGACTGAGAATCTGCCATTAAGTAACTGTTAGTAATTTTTGTGTTTAAAGGATTTGCTCCTTCCAACCCCTGTTAGTATAGAAATATTGCTGCCATGTGGAAATGAATATGCAGCAGGGTAAGTGTATCACAAATTTGCAAGATTGGTAACAGGTAGGTTTTTTTAATGTAGTTTGTGTTGGATACTCCACAGTGGTAGCATGAATGATTTCAGTGGCTGTTTTCAAGAAACCTCAGGGTCACATTTAGAACGTACTTAAAAGAATATTGCGTGCCAGTGTGTGTGTTGGACGACTCAGTTGTATTCTCCTCTGGCTTGGTTTTATGGAGCCCCAATGGAGATGGAATCTATCCTTGACAGCAGAACAGATGGCTGTGGTACCTTTCCCAGAGTGTGAACCCCATACTGTGTTTTGCCCAAACCCAGATAGGAGAAGGAAGTGTAATTGACACTTGCTTCTGCCTGAAGAGATGAGTGGCTCAGTGTGTTGATGGAAATAAAAGCAGGCAATTACCTTGCATATATGCATGTACTTGTGTTTTCCTGGATAGAGGGATAGAAGTTACGCGAGTTCTCCAACCAGAAAAATGAATTTGTCGACCCCTGACATCTCCGTCACTTATTATGGGGAGAAATACTCTCTAAAATCCACAGGCTACATGTCATCCTGGAACCACATGTTAGGAATTGCTTTGAATGGTATACTGTTGGAAAAGCAAGGATTTAAATTTAAACTCTTTTACAAAGGCCAGCTTCAAATTTTAAAGCCTTAGTATACTGGAAGAAGAAATTAATGTCCTGGTTTTTTGGGAACAAATCTAAAACAAAACCCTCCTTCCACTGCTCTTCTTCTCTCCCCACCTCCCCAAATAAGAGGCATGATCACTTTGGTTGAGAGTTGTCACTGAACTCTCTGGAACGGTTTCTTGTTCACACTGTTCTTCTGCACTGGCAAAGGAAAAGCGGTCAGAGATGGATCCTGGTACGTTTCAGTCAGTGACAAGAAGACAGATTTGTTCAAGGAGCCAGGCTGGTTGCTCTGACACTTCAGTTGGCTCATCTGTCAATAAGTGCAACCTTTAAAAATGGTCTTGTTACTCTACTTCAGTGTCCGTTACGTTTTTCAAATGGGTCATTCTAGGAATATATACTTTGCTGCCACAACCCCAAATAAGATCATCATCCTAAAGCTTTGCATCCAAACAATCCATGGGCATAAACAAAGCTGTACAAGAAGATGACAACTTGAATGCTAAGTACTTCGTATGCTGACTTATATTGCTATTTCAATTCAGTCCTGGAACATGTGTTTTTTTTTTTTTTTTTTTTT